TGAGAAGGCAACATTGCCGTAGATACTAGTTGTCTGAATAAAACACCTTACTGCCGTAACACTTCAGTACGAATTTACCCATTGACCATGAATTTACGACTTTATCAGTCTTAACGTTCCTCAACACAGTTGTCTTGCATGGTATAACCTAAAAAATCAATTGTTTGAAGCAACATTACTCGACTTGGCTATCAAGACAACCAAGCCCGATTACTACGCTAAGGTACTGGCTAGGATTAGTATTAGAGGTAGGTATTATTATTATTACTAATTTTATTGTCAATCAAAACTTGACAACAATTAATCAACGTAAATAAAGTTAACCTAGCTAAAAGGAAAGCCCTGATCAGTTATAACTTACAAGAAAGAGTGTTACCCAACATTAGTCATCTATGGTCATTCCTTTTTACATGCATAAATAAAAGTATTTAACCAATCAAGGCAGTTTGCCAGTCAGTGATAACAGTGGAGTAGATTACATAAATAAACATGACACGTAAAAAGTACAAATTGATAATGTGATGACAAGTATACTAGTTGTGATGATAATAACAAAGCCTCCATACTCTTTATTCGTTTATTTTTTTCTCACCCTATTTTTTTCAAGTACATGTTTCACTATCCATTTATCTGAACACTTCTTATTGCATAATCTGATAATTTTCAAAGAATGTTATTTCATTGTTTACATTTTTCCAAGCTGTTGACCCATTTACCATCATGAAACATGGATTCAAGGTTTCGTTATTATCATCACACTATCAATTTGTACTTTTTACTTATTATGTTTATTTATGTAATATATTCCACTGTTATTCCTTTCTTGTTAAACAGGTAATCTTTGTGCAGTTGAGATCATGAGTCAATTGAAGCTAGACCACCATGGGGAACCTGCAAGCACTGGATGGCCATTTCGTTCAATTGTGGGACTCCCCAGCAGTACGCATCCACGATCCCGCCTCGCGAGATTCCAACTCAAGAACTATCAGTCTCGCGCGCGAGCGCTTAACTACTAAACTACTGAGCCGGCATCCAACGGTGTCAATGCCTAACTTCAACCGATCCACGAAATGGAGCAACCATTTCACCAATTGTCTTCAGTGAGTTGATATCTCCCAACACACCTGGTTGAACTCCACCTGTTACTGCTTCTCACTAGAAGTCCAGGGAATACTTCATGGAACCAGTCACTAGTGAGCATATGATCATTATCAGAAGTGGGTTTTGTGGAGATTTTAGTTATTTTTATGTAGTTGAGATCATGAGTCAATTGAATGGTTGCTCATTTTCGTGGATTGTTGGAAGTTAGACATTAACACCGTTGGATGCAGACCGACCTAGTGGTCTAGTGGTTAAGAGCTCGCTCGCGAGACTGATAGGTCCTGGGTTCGAATCTCGCTCGCGAGGCGGGATCGTGAATGTATACTGCTGAGGAGTCCCACAATTGGACGAAACGGCTGTCCAGTGCTTCTAGGTTTTCCATGGTGGTCTAGCTTCAATTGACTCATGATCTCAACTACATAAAATAACTAAAATCTCCACAAAACCCCCTTCTGAAACAGGTAATCTGCTAATGATAAAGATGTCAGTATTTTTTTGAGACTTTTACCACAGCGTTCTTTACTTGAACAATGCTTTTCAAGAAGAGGTAACTAAAAATGCATTATGTTACGAAGATGTACATTCTACTAATTAAAACTGAACATCACATACCAACTACCAGCCAATAAGGTAATAAGTTAGTAAGCCACACTGAAAATGCAGTCGACACGATTTCTTACTATCTATTGACTAGTTGGTAATATTAATCAATATTAATCTTTTAGAAAGTTCATTAAGGTTTACATAATCAAATAGGAGGATTTCTAATTGTAATCCTAAATGTAACTGATTAAGCTTATCGGTTAGTATCAATCAGGACAATTGTAGTCAGTTGTTTATATTGTTAAAAATGTTAACTGGTGTTTATTTATTGATCAATATGAACTGATTGGAAAAACAGTAAATAGTACACCGAATCATTAAAGATACTGGTGTTATGTTCTATTCAATAAATTAATTGTAAATTATATTTGATTTTATTTACATAATTGATAAATGATTTTACAATATATAAACAAACTAGTAGTCAAATGAAATATAAACTAATCACTTGACCAACTATTTATTTAAGTTATATAATCAATTTAGATAATTGAACAGATAGTTCGTCGAACATATTATTAATATCGATTGTCTATGGCACAAAAGATAAACTAAACGTTGTAAGCAAAGATGGATAGTGGCTAGCAGTGGAATCCAGGACGCGCATCACTTCGTCCTATTTGGGACTCGTCAGCTGGATGTACCTGCATCTCAGAGTTGATGTTCACTGTGGGACTCGAACCCAGTACCTTCCACTTCAAACGTCATCACGTTATCCACTCAGCTACTGAGTCCTGTTAGCCACTTGCTTGTGCAACATGTTTTTTCCCGTAAACTACACACTGAAGTACTAAAGTTACTTTAGGCACAAGATTAATTTGTCAACAAGCGAGAGACTGTCAATATAGATATTGTCTAATTGTTTATGATGTTTAACAGTTCATTTTGTGTCAATATTATGTAGATAATCATGTTACTTTATCACATAGAAGAAACTTCTTTTGCTGAGAAGCTATTTCGTCTTTCAATACCTATTCAGTTGGTGGTTACGTCAGTAATTCAATCTCGTAAGCAGTTATCACTTGGATAAATATCATCTTAATATATTATCAGTCGATTAGATTATTTTATCCACGAATTTAGTTATTCCCAAACGTTCGTTCAATAAATCATAAAACCTTATTCTTTGACAAATACACTACCAATCTACTTATATTTGTAGAGCTATTTAGAGAAATATTTCTTTAGCAATACTCTCCTTTATCCACATAACTTTCAATTCATTAATGTGAATAAATCTTAATGAAACCGTGTCCTTAAAAAAATTGTCAGATTTAATTAATAGAAACATTATATATATATATATATATATATATATATATATATATATATATATATATATATATATATATATATATATATATACATTATATACTTTTATCACACTGATTGAGCCCCTTAACTATCTTCACAAATGCTACAAATAAATACTAAGAAATCGATATTTGACGGACACTATAATTCTGAGTGTAATTAACTGCAAACCTAGCCCTAAGTTTTTGAAGCGATATGTATTTCATTATAGAAAAGGACTTATTTGAATTCTCTAACCAACTGATTATCCTCAAGTTATTTACATTGGATGTATAGTGAAAACAGGTAGCTAACGAGAGGGGATATAAACAAATAATTAAGAACAATTATATGACAGATATTGATACTCCTAGAAATTTATTTACTGTTTGAATTTAGGCAGCTGGAGTAGGAGGTTATAAAAAGTTAGGTTTAGTATTAGTTAGATCACATTAGCAAAGTGTACTTCTAGTCTTGAAAGAAGTGATGCACCACTTGGAATCTGGACTTTTGCCAAAGCCAGAGACATTACTATCTATCTCATTTAGAATTAAGGTGTTAATACATGATTTTTTTCAGTCACTATTAGCAATTGTCATTGAGAGTAAAAGTTAGTGTTAATGGAACGCTATCGATAAAATTGACACGCCTTAATTATTTTTCTACGAATTACACCTGGGACTGCATAACCACTGAGAAATGAGTTTCAGCAAACAAACTGTCAAACGTAATTATGAAATTAACGCAGAGTGATAACAAGAGACAAGTCGTACTAAACAGACACAAAAGTAGGTACTCAAAGTCAAATACCACCATTAGTAAAATCTGACTAGGAAAAGTTCGTACTAATAGATCACTGAAAATATTACTTCATTGTTCCTACTCATTTGAATAACGAATAGGAGCGTTGTTAGCCATCTTGTTTAGATAAAAACACGTATATACCAGCATGTTCCAAACTTTTGAATTGGTTCGAAATGAGAGCAGTTCGGAAGCCACAAACCAACAAATGTGGAAGACTAATTAATGCTCCTAAACGACCTACAGTTACTAGCAAACCTGCTCTTCAGTGCCTACAAAACCTTAAATTACACGAGGTTCCTATGAAAAATCTCAATACATCGGTTAGCCTGGTGCATGTTTAGTATATGACGGCTAGACTAGTTTATGGGCGAACCACTCAGACTTAAAAGAACGGACCTTAGATTTAGGCGCCAAACCCACCCATCCGAGTAAATAGCATTCCAGGTTATAGTTGATGTAAGTTCGTTATGAAGACATCAGATTCAATTCCTACACTTAACGTCCAACTGGAAATTCTAACCCTGACTACTGATCACATTAATTTATGACTCTAGTAAGTAGGTAGACATTATCAGGGTCATTTTAGTGTTGCTCGGAAGTCGTTCAAAGACTTAAGTCTCACCAAGTGGAACCGTACAAAAACCTAAACTGGTTTCGGCTAAACGATCGCAGCTATTCTAGAGGCTGCCTGACAAGCACCCTAAGCACAGTCGTAATCGAAGTGCCGAACCGAGTAGGATGCAACTACGGACCCCCCATCCCACACAGTACGACTTAAAGCAACGAAGAGAATCGGCAGGGAATACCAGCGGTACGCAAGTCTGACCCATATCTACTACTTTATTCGGACACAAACACCAGCACAAGTAGGAGGTAAATATATATGCGCCGCACTTAGTCGTCCGACTGGACGACTGAAATGCCTCTCTGGCACTCAAACCGAGACAGGACAAGACGGACATAACAAACCTTGATCCCAGTGAGCAGGAACGTAGGATGCAACTACGTATTACTGATTACACTAGCTGGCATCACAAACAGAATGACTACCGGCATACTGCCATCACCTAGATTTCTGCAAATAACCCATACGACCAATAAGAATCATGTGCTCAAAACCCCTACCTGGTCATTAGTGAGGACGTCATTCGCCACGAGGCCTCCGAACCACACTCAGCGTCAAGAACTGAGCAAGCCATGAGCTATAGAAAATCTTTATTCCGTGATATTATTTATACCATTTGTACAAAGTAATGAAGTCAGATTAGAAACATTTACGATGAACAATACTTTCACCAGACTCATCATACTCCTGTTTAGAAATCCACATCTGTTGGAATGTTGATAACGAAGCCAAAATAGAACCACCAATCCATACTGAGTACTTCCGTTCAGGTGGTGCAACTATCTTTATCCTCATTGTACTGGGGGCTAGAGCACTAATCTCCTTTTGCATACGGTCAGCAATACCAGGATACATTGTACTTCCACCAGACAACACGGTGTTCGAATACAGATCTTTACGGATATCCACATCACACTTCATAATCGAATTGTATGTAGTCTCATGAATTCCTGATGCTTCCATGCCCAAAAAGCTAGGTTGGAAAAGAGCTTCTGGACATCTGAATCGCTCATTACCAATCGTGATAACTTGACCATCTGGAAGTTCGTAACTCTTCTCCAATGCAGAACTCGAAGCTGCAGAACACATCTCCTGCTCGAAATCCAAAGCAACGTAACAAAGCTTCTCCTTTATATCTCGCACAATTTCACGTTCTGCAGTAGTAGTAAAACTGTAACCTCTCTCAGTCAAGATCTTCATCATATAGTCGGTAAGATCTCTACCAGCAAGATCCAGACGCGAAATCGCATGAGGCAATGCATAACCTTCATAGATCGGAACTGTGTGGGTCACGCCATCACCTGAGTCCAACACTATACCAGTTGTACGACCAGATGCATACAGTGACAACACCGCCTGAATGGCAACATACATAGCTGGCACATTAAACGTCTCAAACATGATCTGTGTCATCTTCTCACGATTGGCTTTCGGGTTTAGTGGAGCTTCTGTCAACAACACTGGGTGTTCCTCTGGAGCAACTCGCAACTCGTTGTAGAATGTATGGTACCATATCTTCTCCATATCATCCCAGTTAGTCACAATACCATGCTCAATTGGGTACTTCAGAGTCAGGATACCACGTTTCGATTGAGCCTCGTCTCCCACATAACTGTCTTTCTGATCCATTCCGAACATCACTCCTTGATGTCTAGGTCTTCCAACAATAGAGGGGAATACGGCTCTGGGAGCGTCATCTCCGGCGAAGCCAGCTTTACACATACCAGATCCATTGTCGATGACAAGAGCAACAACGTTCTCATCTTCCATTTTTGTAGAGTAATTGATTGAGTGAGAGAGTGAGAACGTATATTGATACAGATAGTCTTACTGTTATATAAATCAAATCATTACCTTATATGGTCAGATATGTGACTATTATTTGAAAACCAATGCGTTCTCAATAGTTAAAGCCTATCGGCTTTGTAAATTTCACATATCCATATTTGGCTAAACTATCATAATTTTTAGTGATCGTGACCAATTATTTTTCTGTCTGTGTTGCTCACTGAAGTACAAAATAATTTTTATTGAGTTTTTCAGACTAATTTTTTGTCGTCCATGCTTTTTTCTACCCCGACTTAAGTCATGTGATTCATACGTAACCTGTGTAATTCTATTGACCTTTACTGATTGAGTTATTGTGTATTGATTACAAATGCCCACTTTGCACTTCTAGTGTCTTAGACGTAAATTTTTTAATTTTGGTTGACTATACCGAGCTCTAGATGTCACAGCATTCAGTTTTCATATTACAATAAACTCAATTTTTGCTCATTTTCAAATTGAAGAAGTTAGCTATAAAAACAAAGCAGGTATTTGCTGAGTTAAAAGAACAACAGTTTTATCTGTTTAGTAAAATGATTAACAGTAATCTTGAACCAAGTGAAAATAACGTAAGACTGGTTAGGAATGGTTTCAAATAATTTGGAATTTTTTTAAACAATAGAATGGATGATGTATCATCCGATTCTAGATATACCATGACAAGCAACTTATTTGTGTGTACACCGAACTCTATTCATTTGCATTAATTTGGATTGCACTTACGATCTGATAGAATGCAAAGCTAACATCAGTGCGAGAAATAGGAGAAATTCTGTGATTAAAAGATGTTATACGTATAGGGTTATGGAGATGGTTAAGTTTTGATTGAGGTCATAAATGGATCAATGCTAGACCACTATTGAAAACCTGTAAGTTCTGGACAGCCGTTTCGTTCTAGACTCCTCAGCAGTGTTCATCCATTAAAAGATGTGTCAACAGTAGAATTCACACAAAGTATGGAAAAAGTCTACTGTAATGGATATAGGGAACGAATAAATGATGCTGGAAAAGTAACCATATATTTCTGACCAACCAAACTACTTCCTGACCAGGGTAATCCCGATCCATCATAGAAGAAAGGCAGTTGGTAGTATAATTATGACGCCACCTGTCTCAATTTAGTGCTTTGGTTTTCTTCATTCCTCTACTTAAATACTACGATGCATTCAACAGCCAGTCTACCATAACTAGGTGTTTTCAGAAATGTGAAAATCCAAAAGATCGAGTCTGAAGCCTGTAGACATTGCAGCTAACAAAATATGATCTAGTAATTTGTTTGGTTTTCATTACTTCATATATTCCAAGTTGGTAGACCGAGATGGTAATCTTCAACAGAGTCACTAATGAACCCTAATTTATAATTCGGTTAATGTGGTTTTGGAGTAGTCGATTAGCATGACGATCATAATTTATTTTAAATAAAAGATTTATACAGAGAAGTTAAAGTGAATAAAAAGAGCAATGTATATGGATCATTTGACAGTTGTTTAACAGAACTCAACTTAGATCGTATTCTGTAAAGTAAAGCACCGTGTGATTGGTTTCAAATGCCTACCAGGATCTTATCGCAGAGCAAAACTAGGAAATAGTTACAAACGAGGTGTAGTTTGATATCAAGAGATTATATCAATAAATTTAGGACATCATCGGTCAAGTTAAATTCTCTTGGTCTTTCCTATGGAACCATGATTATGTGAAGAATGTTCACGGTCAAATGATAATGCTAGATAGCGGTTTTTTTGTGGAGATTTAGTATTTTTATAGTTGAAAGCAAGAGTCAATTGAAGCTAGATCACCAATAGTGACTGACTTCGAGAGGTAAATCCAGGAGTTCTAGTGAGAAGCAGTGACCAGTGGAGTTGAAAGCACGTCTGTTGTGAGATATCTACTGACTGAAGACAATTGGTGAACGGTTGGTGAAGTTGGTGGATTGGTTGGAATTAGACATAAACACGATGGGATGCGGGCTCAGTGGTGTATGTGTTAAGTGTTCTTGTGCGAGACTGGTTGTTGCTGTGTTGGAATCTCGCGAGACGGGATCGTGGATGCACACTGCTGAGGAGTCCCATAATAGAACGAAACGGCTGTCCAGTGCTTGCAGGTTTTCCCTGATGTTCTAGCTTCAATTGACTAACGCTTTCAACTATGAAAATGCTAGATAGATAAGAAAATCATATAACTGAAAGAAGAAGAAACCGAAAGAAAAAATTTTCAAGTTCTAGTATTTTCAGAAATTCGATAATGGCTTACGCGAATTTAAACAAACTGTTCTTAAACTATAGAGAAATGGAAAGTTGGTTTTATTCCCTACCGATTAGATGTTTAAATGGAAAGCATTAATATCACTTACTCATAAACAAACTAAGATGCGACATATGATATCGGACTAAATTTCATACAGTTAGTTCCCTTTATGATTTTAATTAAAGATAGAACAAATATTGGTGCAGAATAATATGAATTCATTATATTTCGTGGTTTCTCATCAGCTGCTTACAACCAAATATGTATTAGTTTTAGCATTGGGGTAATAAATAGTGTGGAACAATTGACATAATTGACATGTAAAGGATTGGAATGACAAAAGGTTATCAATCATAACTATATATATATGCAAGGAAAGGTCAGAGGTTATTAGGTATTAGAATGAAGGAAGCATAAATGGTGGGTGGCGTAATAGTTGAGTAGAGTTCAAGGACAGATTATTACCCCAATGCTAAAATTCTAATACATATTTGGTTGTAAGCAGCAAATGAGAAACCATGAAATATAATGAGTTCACATTATTCTGCACCAATATTTGTTCTATTTTTACTTAGATATCAGCCTAAGTTGGTGCACTTAACATCAGCAACGTGAAATAGAAAACCACTAATAGTCGATGGACTAGTTTGCTATTATGTATGCGCAAAATGTTTTAGACACTCTAATGGATGAAGATTTACAGGCTCGAAAATTCTCACGTCTCAGTGTATCCATAGCAAAATTAACATTTCCTGAAATTCATTTTGGAAAGGTTGATATGTATACTTTTCAAAGTTGAAATCATGAGTCAATTGAAGCTAGACCATCATGGAAAACCTGGAAGCACTGGACGGCCGTTTCGTCCTATTATGGGACTCCTCGGCAAAACCTCTTCTGATATGTATACTTTAAGGAAGCTTAAAATATTGACTAAGATATTAATGATTTCTTAATTTCAACTAGCTTTCTTTACAAATTTATTTTTGAGTAATTTGTTCACTTTTTTTATTTTGAAAGTACTTCGCGAACAAAAACAGTCGAAATAATCTGATCATCTGGGTTAGACGACCAATTAAGGTTTTCTTTTTATCAAAATCTTGTCTGTGAAAATAGATAGACTAGACATACTCGGTAAAATTGATGAATTATTTGTTTCAAGAGCGGCACATCATTAACAGCTTAATTGACCTTAATTTCTCTACAGAAATACGTTGAGGCATTTATCAAACTAGTTACACTTTAAAAGTGGTGCCGGAAAAAAAGTGGCATCTTTTGTTTAATCAAACTCATAAAAAGATTTTTTTATATTTATTAAAGATTGTAAATTATTATGGTTTATCAGAAAGAGGTTTTTTGTGGGGTTTGTAGTAATTTAAAAGTTGAATCCATGACGAAACGGCTGTCCAGAGCTTCTAGGTTTTCCAAGATGGCCTAGCTTTAATCGACTCATGAATTCAACTATCATGGTTTAGTTACAATCTACTTTTTGTTTTAAAAAATGTGAAGTTACTGTTCTAATCAAACAAAGAATAGATCTCAAATCAATTTGTTGTTATTGAACCAAATGAAAGTGAAGTGTGGGTACCTCGAATTTCAGTAGTCCATGTGTATTCTGATTAACGACTGATAGGGAAAAGTGTTCCAATGGCCATCAATAATTCTACACTGCAAAGTGAAATACGATTACAATAACGATCAATTAACCCTCAATTGTTTTACTTACTGTTATAAAATTTAATGTATACAAGATAGCTCAGACAAAGTGGTAGTTACAATAACATTCACAATACAACTAAGACAGAATATTATGATAATCAACTAATAATAAACTAAATGAATATGATAAATACTTATCAGTGCTTGGTTTGTTCAACTGTTCGCAGGTTATGTCAAAATATACTGAATATTACAAAGCTCTAGTATACAATAAACTGGTTGAGTAGATAGTGAGCCATATCTTAACCACTAGAGAAAAAAATGATAACAGTGAAACAGAAAAAAGTGTTAAGTAAGTTATAGTGTGAAGATTCGAAGTAAATTAAGGTTAATTTCGAGGCTATCTGAGTTTTTTCAGTTATCAACAAGTATATTGTATCTAGAGCTTCTGGGGCGTAGTGCTACGCCGTACTAACATGTTCAGTACAGGCAGTTTAGGTTAACTTCAGACGCTTGGAATGAAATTTTTAGTGAAATCTATGTGTCAATATGCAACACTCGCTCACCAGAGGAGTAGAAAGTGACCAGAAGTGTGGAATACAATATACTTATTGAACATTGAAAACGTTGTAGATGATCTCAGTTATATTTTGCAGTATTTAGGCAAATACAAGTCAAAAGTTTCAGAAAAGTATGTAAAATATGGAGTGAACAAATAAAGGATCTTAATAGTTGAGTTCATGGGTCGACTGAAACTAGACCGTCATGGAAAACTTGTATGAACTGGACGGCGCATTTTTGAGGAGTCCGACACTAGGACGAGACGGTCGTCCAGTGCTTCCAGGTTTTCCATGGTGGTCTTCAACTGACTCATGAACTCAACTATTAAATTACTATAATATTCACAAAAACCGCTTTCTCTTAAAATAAAGTATTCAGTTACGTGCTCTGGTCAATAAATGTTTGTAGTCAGAGTGATCATAAACACAAAGTATAAATATCATTAACCCTATTTAAATTGCAAATTAGACAAATTCAGAACTTCTGTAAATTTTCAGAATATTATGTTTCTATGCCAAAAAAGTCATGATCACAAAGTAAACTATATAGGATTTTCACAGTTGAAATCATCAGTCAATTGAAGCTCCACTGGCCACTGCTTCCCACTAGAACTCAAGGAAATATCTCTTGAAGTCAGTCACTAGTGAGCATATGATTATAGATCAGAGGGGGTTTTGTGGAGAATTTAGTATTTTCACAGTCTATCGATGAAGGGCTTCGGCTAGAGACTGGTAGGTCCTGGGTTCGAATCTCGCTCGCCAGTGGAGTTCTACCAGGTCTGTTGTAGAGATATCATCTCATTGAAGACAATTGGTGAACGGTCGCTCAATATCGTGGATTGGTTGAAGTTAGACATTAACACCGTTGGATGCCAGCTCAGTGGTCTATCGGTTAAGGGCTTCGGCTCGAGACTGGTAGGTGGAAGCACTGGACGGCCGTTTCGTTCCGTTGTGGGACTCCTCAGTAGTGCGCATCCACGATCCCGTCTCGCGGGATTCGAAACCAGGACC